AATATTTTTATTTAAATCTTTAAAATAATGTTAGTTTGTTATAGAAAAGATGTAACACATTAAGAAGTAACAAACATATTGCAAGAGTAATTTATCATATTAAAGATGACACAGTATTATACGAGTAAAGTCTTTTATCAAAAATATCTAAGATTATTAAAAATCCGTATAAACACACAGAACTCTCAAAATATATACCAGATATACTGAAACACGTAAGCAAATTCAGTAATCTTAGTCCGCTACAAATCATGTGTGTGCTACAAATAATGCATTATATCATAATTTTCAATGTAAGTAACAAACAAAAATGTTCTATCATTTGGGACGATTACAACAATAGCTTAATGTCGAATATACACCTTTCAAGTTTGTGTCTAGTGCATTTGCTTGATAAGTATTATTCATAAAAGTTGTAATAAACCTCAACACACAATGTTTTAAACATGACAAATTAGACCAGACAGAGAACAAAGTTTAAGGTACTCATTTATAAGACCAATTCGGTCAATATTACAATGAATATTACAATGACCAGATTATTTGTTCACAAGGTGAGCATATCACTGGAATCTTGCCATCAACTCAACAATAACACTTCATTAGTTTTTGCATGTATTTTCATTATATGTTATAATTGCTACGCAAGACACAACATAAAACTGTATCAAGTATTATGAGGAAAATGAAAGGAGATCGTATTTGAAATAAGAATGTCAAGCATGTTTGGCGTTCTTGTAGTTAAATGTCCCGATGACGTAAATTGCTTTATTTTGTGTGAGTATACAGGTATGTCATTACGAATATTGTATAATATCTTATCAAGAAATACAAACTTCTTCATAAAGTCGTATGTGCAGTGTTTGTTCGACGTAAATATCGTATGAATGGTTTGCACTAAAATTGTAAAGTAATATGTAACAAATCATTAACATTGACAAGCGTTATTTCTCTTTTTTTAAATGCAACCCAGATTAATATATAAAATACTAATCGGACTTAAATGGACAAAAACAATATTCATCTTAATAGGTTTTTATTGATCTTGAATAACACGAAGAAGTGCGATATCTCAATTTAGTTTTATAATACATTTTATATATGTAGGATTTATAGTATGCAACTTAGAAATAATAACAATTTTACAAAAGAGCCTGAATTAAACTATTAACAAGATAATAATGCGGTCAGTCTTACAACCCTATAAAATTTAAAAGTGGTAAGTCATAAAACGTACCAGAATAGCAAGCATATCCTAACCTCGTTGACTATGTTTAACAAAGGCAATCAAATGCGTTCTTCCTTCCAGAACCGTCTTGGGAGTATCTAAGACATACAGCTTGCTCTGCATGTAAAAGGTTCGAAAACTTTGGTGGAAAAGCTTTAAGCTACAGACAAGAATAAGAGTTTCAATAAGGCTGTTATAAGTATTTCTAAGTGGCGTGCTTTATAGCACAAGGTCATAGAATGTGATGTTAATTAATTTAGTTTCAATAGGAATGATGTGAAATTTTAGAGGAATAAAATGTTTTATAAAAACTCCCTATTTAGAAACCTTATTAACATCAGCTGTTACAGCATCAAAGTTTCTATATACATGTATAAATTTGCACGGTCCCGGAACATTGCAATAACGTATTGGTCGTGTGATATTCAAAAGATGATGGCAATAAATAAATCTTGATAAAAAAAACAAAATCGATAAGTAAAATGTCCTCTTAATGTTAAATAGCTTCATTCTGATTAAAATGACATTCATCAAATATTGACACAAGTAAAATACAACAAATAACCATTCTCATAGTTTTCAAACTTTATACAAATCTCATTGTATCTTTTCATTTCAAATGTTTACATAATATTTAGATAAAAAATCTCATATTATTTCTATAGTAGAATTTTCTATTTTATTTCAAATGTCATTGGGACAGAATTAAAGAGTTGATAATCTCCGTGAATTGATTACAATCTTTTTTATAAACGAATATTTTTATAAAAAAATATATCTTTGGCAGAGGTGTAAATGGATCCTTCTCTAAAGATTAATTTGGCTAAGGTATATATAGTTCTTTATTACATTATGTACCATATTCTATTTTTTTGCAAGCGATTGTTATATTTTTAATAGAATTGGTAAAAGTTTTAGATTTCTTGATAGCGCTATTATTTGACTTGATGTAATGAGGCAAGAAGCCTTTGGCAACATAATTTTAATCAGCTGATAAATCATCCTGTAATGACAGTTGAACAATATCTCCTTCCATTTTGTCTCTTTTGTATCCCATTCACATGCATTTATTATCTCATGGTAGCATGTTTCAATGATGCGGTGTCCTTTGATCACGTTGTAATACAAAAAGGTAGGCAAACATTGTTATTTCAAGCATTGCAGATACTTGGATTCTTATTCTTTTCTTTTATATATTGGAACACATGGTTCAGGATAAATGACAATTAAATAATAAGAGATCGTAAGCACACATTGCATTTCATATCAAAGTCAAACATAGTATCTGCTTTTAGATTAATTACATTTTTCAAAAAGTACTTTTTATTCGATTTTATTTTAACATATATTTTGTTCATAGTCGTTATATAAGCATATTCTAATTTAAGGCAATCATTACGTCTATCTGCTTCAAGATTTGAAGTTACTTATTCATACATTACGCCCGAAAAATAATAAAAATGTAATGTCTAACTTTTTATTATTGACAAATTTATAGCCACTATCAAAAAGGTAAATCATTCTAAATGCTGATAACTCACATTGACAATATACAAACTGTATACCATGTAAAATAAACTTCACAATAGAATAAAAGAAAGTATCAATTGTTTACGAACTATAATCACTTGAAGAGTAAAAATCAACGTAAACGAAAAGTTTCAAATTATAGAGGAAGTCAATTACTCTCTCCTGAAAATAAAATAATACAATATGAAAAAGGTAGATACTTGTAAACAATGAGGACAAAATCAATGATTGCCGGCTGTTGAAATTGACTGAAATGCTATTCATATTGAAACGGATGTTCAGTACTCTAATGAACAGATGGTAGATTTAGAATTTTAGTATTGTACGCAACAGTCTAGAAATAAATTAACATAATTGAGCCGTGTCATGACAAAACCAACATAATGGGTTTGCGACCAGCATGGATCCAGGTCAGCCTGCGCATCCGCGCAGTCTGATCAGGATCCATGTTGTTCGGTATCAGTTTCTCTTCTTGTAATAGAGTTGGTAAGCGAACAGCATGGATCCTGATCAGATTGTGCGGATGCGCAGGCTGGTCTAGACCCTTGCTGGTCGCAAACCCATTATGTTGGTTTTGTCGTGACACGGCTCTTATAATTATTTTAATGATTTTAACACATTTTCAAACCTAGTGGTTTTGGCTTATCGATTATCGTAGATGCGATTTTAAGATTTATAATGACAAAGGTAATCAAGAATGTAAAAATAAATAATTATGTAAGGTGAAAAAAACAACAATAGATGTTTGTTTTAGTTATAAATACCGTGAAACCTCGCCTTCTAAGTAAACAAATTCTGTAAGTTTTACAGTGAAAAGGATGCCTAATTCGCTTATTATGACCGGTAAGTAAATTGCTAGAAAATTAGTTGCCATAGTAATTGTAAATATGTTTAGTTGGTCCAAATCTATAAAACCAAAGAGGAGAGGAAACATAAAAACGATAATCTCATTATTATGGATTAACAACTTAAGCATTTTCTGCGTTATTTGTTTGTTTTTCCGCGTTCAGGTCGTAAATAAAGCCAGATAGACTGTAGACCCTTTACAGATTGAGTTAAGATTATAGACTGAATGTAATTAAGGTATACCATCTGTTTAACAGATCAATGTTTCCGTATGCTACAAGCTGTTGTTTGTTTAGGTTCAGTGATTTAATACTTTATACATTTCCAATTGAAACGTTACTAAATTATGAACCAATATTTAGCTTGTTCTTTTTTTCTTAAAACGTTAGGTATGTAGAATCTTCTATGAAATTATAAGACCAACGAGTGTCCATATCATGACATATTTTTGCAAAATAAAAAATCGTCTAAGCACATTTATTTAAAAATCTAGTAAGAGTTTCTTATAAACTTACTTACTAAATTAAAACATTGAAGAAAGAGATAATTTGTATTTGACTTAAGCTTAATGTAATATCTGTTTTTATTATTCCGTTGGAAACATCTGTGTACATATTTGTTTTCTTTCCTGTCAAAATCAATGATTAAACCGAGAAAAAACTAAAGATTTAATAAAGAACACGTAACTGTTGTTTGCATATTTTAATTGTATACATATAACGTTAGTCATAAAGGATGATGCCTTAATACTATATTATAGGAATCATTACGTTATTAAGTTCCTCTAGATGGTGTGATGCATTGTGAGTATGTTACATTTTACGATTTTATGTTTTTGTTCAGTAAGTAGAGAGGACTGTTTCCTTGGTAGTTGAAGTACCTCACTTACATTCTTATGTGAACAACTTTATGTCAAAAAATCTGTATGCTGTGTGCTAACAGAAACCCATTGTTCCTAAAGGGGTTAGTCATTTATTGTTAGTTATATATGAATCAATAAACACTATAAATATTCTAGAAATGTATGTCAGAAATATAACTTTATGGGCCAATATATAAATGTATATGTTACGTAAAATGTCATAACCTTTAAATATGTGCAAATCAGCAAAATGAATTCCTGCAATTTTTGAGTGACAATGTCAATTTTTCCACAAAATCTCGACTGATGTATATAAGGAATCAAACATTGATTATATATACAATCAAGGTTATACTAAATAGTGGAAATCTATGAATTTAAAATGAATTGTTAGATAAATTTGTGGAAGATTTCACCAGGACTTTAATCTAAAAATATATGGTTTTCATCAGGATCTTTAATCTAAAAATATATGTCCAAAGATAGAAGTATATATATAAGTGATACTTTTGTAAATAAATGAAAGAATTTTACCTTCGATTTTCGTAGGATCACATTCAAGGGCAAATGCAATTTTGATCAACACTAGTATACAACAGGAACAACACTGAAAATACCACGTAGCAATCATAGTGCATGGTCCCTTGTAAAATATGTCCACTGTTTCCGCCTCAAAGTATCAGATATTAAAGTTGTAGTCGCATTTCTCGTGCAAGTAGCTGAAAATGCACGATGCACGAAACAGCCTAAATATTTCGAAGCGTTTGGTATTCGTGATATATGAATCATAAAGATACGCATATATATCCGAATATACTGTCAGTTTAAATCAATGGATAGCATTATATACTAGCGTTCCACATTTCACACTGGTTTAACATCTACATGTGATCGACAGATCTTTTTGTACTACTTATATTTAATCGTTTCACATTTTGTGATTCATTTTCAATACAATCCAGTCATACCCGAGAGTCATGTTTCACCATATTATGTCTGATTAACTGTAAACTTGTTTGAACAGGTAAATCCGCATATGTTTCAACAAATGTTGCATTCGCTATACAATTCAAGCACATTTAACCTACTTATGTAAATATCGTTTTTTTTCTCACAATAATCTATTCATGTTAAATAATTTAAAATCGGCAAAACAGCTCACATTTGATGTTGACTTAAGCGTTCGCCATTTGCAAACATAATCCATAGAATTTATGTTATAGAAAAGTGGAGGAATAGAAAGCAACATATACAAAGCACATACAAATGATAAACAGGTAAAGCAAATCCGAGGTGTATTCTACATCAGCATATGTTCTATACAGTATGTTGTTATCAGGAATTTTCTCCAATATGCTGTATATATAATACCATTTTTCTTACAAATTAGACAGGTGATAATTATCTATCTTCCTTTTATTTCTCTCGCTTTCAAAGTGTTTTGTAACGTCTTCTATAGAAATGTAAACACAGGGAAGAAAAGGTGTATGGTCTGTTCTAGTCTATCAAATACATTGGACTGGGTGGGATCATTTATTTGTTTGATTATATATTTGAAGTGTATGTAAAATAAATTTCATAACAATAATACTATTTGATAAAGAACTTAGACTTTATTTTGGTCGATATTCACAAATGGTTGTAAGAAGTCATTCTTCGTCGCTTGAAAATAAATCCAGATTGCCTATGACTCGTCAATAACTTTTAGTTTTACTTTAAAAGGTAAATGTTAAATTGCTGCTGCAGCAAATAAAAAAATAACTAGCTAATTTCCATTCGCGAGTTTTTAAGATATTTGATTATTGGTGTGAGTTCCATATTAATATCAGGTCATTGTGTATCTTGACGGTAATCAATACCAGTTATTATTTGATAATATTGAATTAAATGCAATTCATTGTGCAAGTATATATTTTGAAAGTGAAAGAGAGGCACAAATTGTTGTTGTTGTTTTTATTTTTTTTTTAATTACGTTTTTGTCTTTTTTTTTCAAACATTGCTTTAATGACATTGTCATTTAATAAAGAATCCTCATAAATTTTTTTACAGTGACTACTTATTATTTATTTCCAACTAAAATATGAAATACAAGATTTTACTACACCCGTTATTCTTCGTAAAGATTAACTGAAGTATTGATAATTAACTAACATGAGAAATTATAAAAATGTATTTATTTTAATAGACATTACATAATATTACAGTCGGTTTTGCATAGTAAGTACTCACGATTGACAACAAAAGCATGAAAAGAAATATGCAACAAGCGAGTTGAATTTATCTCTGCGGAGTACCAATCACGCATAGACGTTCTCGAAAAAGAAAAAAACAAATTTAAAGATAAAATTTCAAAACTTTGAAAACTCAAAAATCGGAACAATTAGTCTAGGGGGGCTTTAAGGAAAAGGGCCCCTTTGGAAAATTTTTGGGGTTTAAAATTTCGGGAAATTTTCCCTTTTGAAACCAAAAATCAAAAAGGCTCGTAAAAGGGAAAATCCCCCGGAAAAATTGAAACGCATAAACGTATGGGGGGGCCGGTCTTTGTCGGACCCCAAAGGGGGTTTTAAAATTTTTCGTTTTTCCCCAAAGGGAGAAAAAGGGTTGCGGGAAAAGCGTTTTTTTGAAGGATCGGATTATTCCTTTTAAAGAAAAATTCCCCCCCGGAAAAAGCAAAACCCACAAGGAGGTTAGTACCAAAAAATAAGGGGGCAATTAAGGCCCAACAAAAAGTGGGTGGTTTAAAGAAACCCTTTTTTTTCGATGGAAAAGGCCCTTAAAAATGTCATAAAAGGGAAAGGAAGAAAATTTTTGGGGTAAGTGTTCTTGGCCCGGAAAAGTAACGGTTTTCAGAAACAAAAATAAACCAGAAATTTTTTTTTTTTTGACGAAAATGAAAAATTTTTAAAAATTTTGTGAACATGGACCGATAATAATTCTGTTTTTTGATATGAAATTTTACTAATATTTAATTTTTTAGGAAAAATTTAAAACATAAGAAAACTAAGCGGTAATATGGAGGAAAATTTCATATAAAGTTTTAAAAAATTGTTTAAAGAGGGGGGGTTTTGTAATAAAAAAACAATTTTATACTATTATTTTGGTTTTTAAACCCAAAATGCAAAGTTTTTTAATTTTGATAGAGAAAATTTTCTTTTTGGGGGTCTATATTTTGGGCCGTGAGTCCCCCGGCCGCTAAATTTAATTGATGGGGATTGTTCGAAACTATTAATGCCAAAAAAATCTATTTTCTTTTTACAAAAGGAAAGGTTTTTTAAAATTGGGGGGGGACTTTGGGAATTTGGGGAGGGGAAAGGCCCGATTAAAATATTTTTTTTAATTTAAATAAAATTTTAAAGGAAAGGGTTTTTTAAAAAAAATTAAACCCCATGAACCCTTCCAAAAAAATCCAAAGGGAAAATTTTAAAAATAAACCCGGGGGTTTAAAAAAGGTTTGATTTTTTAAAGCAAAAAAGGGTTTTCGAATTTCTAAACGGGCGTTATTAACCCGGAATCTTTTAAAATTTTTTTAAAAAATAACAAGCAGTACAATTCCGGGCTAAAAAATTTTTTTTGGTTTTTTAAGGGGGGTTTTTTTCCCCCCCCCCCACTTAATTCTTTTTTTAAAAATTAAATTTTAAAACAAATTTGCGGGCCACGGCAGCGGGTTTTTGTTTAATTAAGGAATTGAGCCGTGTCGTACAGATTACAGATGTACATTCTTCCGAATCACATATTTACTATAAATGGGAAGCTGATAAAAAGGCATCATTTAGAAGCAATATTATTGGAAATTTAAATATTTTTTAATAATACTGTTTTTGATGACACTCTTGACGTAGATTCAGCAGTAACGCAGTTCTCGGCGAGCTGTTTTAGACGCGGCGGATTCATTATTTAAAAAAGAATATATGGGTAATTCAAATAATAGGAACAAGCCGCGTGATAATAGTTCTCCATGGTTCGATGATGAATGTTTAATGCTTAAAAATGAATATAAAAACACACTAATTTTATTTAATAACTGCAAGTCTGAGTATTAATAGAGCGGCAGTTGTGCGACGCCAAGGGGAAAGCGTTTCAAATATATTTCACGCAAAAAGATAACGTGCACTAAAATAAAAAAAAAAGGGAATTTAAACCCAAACTTTAAAAAAAAAAAAGGCCCCGTGATTTGGAAAAATTTTAAGGGAAAAAAATTTAAAAATTTTTAAAAGGTAAAATATGCGGATGAGTTTAAAAACAAATTTTTTCTGAAATTTAATTTTGTGATATTAGGAAAACTTCCCTTTATAATGGTTTTAAAAATTTTTAAAGAAACCCTTTTGATTTTAATGTGAATGAATTTAAAATTCAGTGAATTTAAAAGGCCCCCATATTGCTACGAAAGGTTTTTCAACAGCAAGGTAAAAAGTCTTAAAAGCAAAAAATCATCGTGTCCTAGTTAACACTTAAAATTAACGGTATTTAATAGAAACAAGATTCTTTGGTAGTATTAAAATTTATTTATTCAACAAAATGTTTTCATTCTGGACAATTCCCCTAGAATCCCTGGTCTCAAAGGAAATTTATAGTGCCTTATCTTTAAAAAGGGGGATAAAAATTTTGCACAAATAATTAATCGTGGGATGCACTTTATTAAAGCAATCTGGGAAAAAATTATATACAAGTATACTGAACAGGTAGAATTGAAAAAATGGTTTCGAAAAAAAAAATTTAATTTCAGACCTCAGTTTGGTTTTAGCAAAGGGTAAGAGTACGAGTTTGAATGCGGCCTTTTGTATTACATAACTTAAATAGATCACGTTTTATCACAAAAGTTGAGGACTGCACTGCGCATTTTCATTGATCTGCAGAAAAAACCCTTTCGACTCCGTTCTACGCAATGCAACTGCTGGTTTTCAAACCTTTTCAATTATGGGCATCGATGGCAAAATTCCTACAAACGTTTAGGGCAAAACTGTATGCTTGTAGTAAAAATCAATGGGCGTTAAAAGTTGTAATAAGTATCAGACTTCTTTTCGAAAATATACAATCGGGCTAAAAACAAGGTTCTTAATAATTTCTCCTGCCTTTTTCCCCGGTTAAATTTTTTAGAAAGGAAAATTAAACTTTTTGGGAAGATTCGAAAAAACGGGTTTGGATTTTAAAAAAAATGTTGATATTTGTGTAATTAAAATTAATGTTTGGGGACGATAGGGTTTTTTAAATTTTAATTTTGTTTGGCCCTTTCAGACTAGTTTAAAAAAATTAATAATGAATTTTTGGGAATTTCTGGGGGGGCCCTTTAAGTTTTTATAGAAAAAAAACCCAAAATTTGGGATGTTTCCCTAAAAGGGGGTTTTGTTAAAACCCAAAAAGAGCGTGGTTTTTACAAAACTTTGAAAGTAAATAAAAGATTTTTTAAATTTTTGGGGGGGCGTTTTTTAAAATTTTAAACCGGTTCAAATTTGTTTTTGGGATAAACCCCGTACGTTTTTTGGAAAGGCCCATTAAAAACCTTTTTAAAAATACTTTTAAAACCCTATCAACAAATATGAAATTAAAACCCAAACTTAAAATTTTGAAACTTTTTGGAAGCTTTTTCGGGCGTCTTAAAAATAGGGAAAGTCCGAATTTGGGGTTTTTTTCGAAAAAAGGAAAAAAAACGCGGGGCAAATTTTGGGTTTTTGCAGTTTAATCTTTGGGAAATCCCAAAAAAGTACTAGTAAGGGAAACCGGGATAATGGGGGAAAAATAGCGCGGTATCCCCTGCATATTAAAAAGATAAAAAAACAGATTATTAAGTATTGGGTTCAAAATTCCCATCGACGGGGTAACTTATAATTAAACGGTTTTAAAGACGAAAACCGGGTTTAAAAGATCCAAAAGTAATTTCAGTAAGTTGGGGCCCCCGAGTTTAAAATATTTTTCCCAAACAATAGGGTTTTTTCTGAATTTGGGGAATCAAAAAAAGTAGATGCAAAACTCTTCTTACCTTTTTTTTAAAACAACGGGTTTTTTTGAAATGTTACGTACAGAGCTGGGGAGCTGAATTTTTTCAAGAAAAAATTTTGAAAAAACCCTTTTTAAATTTTTACCTTAAAAAATGGGGGTTTGTCAGAGTGAAAATATCTGAATGGGGGTAAAAATTTTTAAAATGGTTTTTGTCAGTCTTTTCAAAGGGAAAACGCGTATGGACATAGGTGCGCATTGAAACTGGAACAAAGGGGAAATCGCAAAAGGAAAGGTCCGAAGCGAGTTTTCAGCTCTGTTGGGTTCTCCCAAAAAAATTTTTTGGATGAATACCCCTTCAATAATTTGCCCAAAACCCTTTTAAAACCCTTGGGGATAA